TACCGGTTTTTCATTTTTGAATGCCGGTCTTACGGACGACCAGTCTCTCCGGTTTGACTTTCGCGGCTCGGTCCGCCTTGAACGTTTCCCCCCCTCACCACGAGGTCTCCCGTAGATAAAATCTTCTGCCATTGAGCTTTTCTATACCTCTGGTCACGTTTATCTACGGGAACCGCGGCTTTCTTAGCATGCAGCCGGTGCGGTTTTGCGACCGCGTCCGGGCTTGCTACCGACCGCTTCTGGGCAAAAACTGCAGCGCGACTTCTTGCTCTTACTGACTCTCTCTGTTCGTTGCTGGTTTCTGCTTGCTTTTGCTTCTGTCTGTCTCGGCCAGGTACTTCGTCGACTACCACACCCCGTGGACGACTCGGACACGGAATCGGCTCTACCAGTTCCAGGCGGGAGGGTTTGCGTGGTTCGCCGTTTTCGGGCTGCGGCCGCTCCGCCGCGGCCACCTGCCCCGGCTTCCCCGGTCCGGTTTGTGTCTGCCACCCTGGCCTCTGCTGGTGTGCTCCCGCGTGGGCGTTCCAGGTCGCCCCTTTCCCTTCTTTCCGGTCCGGCTTCATCTTCCGATGCAGACGCGGACCCTGAGCGCCTGGCGCTCTCTTTGGTTCCGCCTCCTCCTTTCGATTCTCCGGATCGCTCTTCCGTCTCGAGTTGGGCTAGGGTCTCTCTTGACTCCGTGGAGCCCTCCCCGGCTGGCCCTGTGAATCGTTGGTCGGGTCTCGGGCTTCGGCCTTCCTACCGCCCACCGGTACTCCACTCTGGCCTGCCTTTCAGCTTCCGACCGGCTCCTGCACCTTCGGTTCCTTTCCGGTCGGCTTCTGTCCCCCACTCGGACCCTTCTCCTTGCGAGCCCCGGGTGGCCAGTCCTAGATGGTTTTCTCGGTTGCCAGGCTGGCGCCTCACGTCCCGGTCTATCAGCCCCTTCCGGCCGTCCCTGCCTCCCTCCCTCCTGTCTTCCGGGTTCCAGAGGGGCTACTACGCCCTTCTCTCCTTCGGGTCCCTCGGCCCTCGACCTTATAAATGAGTTTGGAGAAAACTCTGCGTTGTTCACGTCAACCCGGGCCTCATCACAGCCCGAGGCTTTCATCGTACGTGTCATCGTCTCCTTTTCGGTCAGCACGCTTAGCAGGTACTTTGCGGTGTGGTCCGGTTGGGCCGCTTGGTGCGTGGTCTACTCCTGCTCTCCGTGCTTGCCTGCTCCGGGGGTGCTCCCAGATTGGTTGTTGGCCCAAGCTAGCCCTCAGGGCCTGGTTTTCTCGTCACGCCGGCCTCCCGGTCCTGCATGCTCAGATTCAGGCCCCTTTGTGCCGGTCTTTTTCTCGAGCCACTCACCCGCAGGAACGTCGTGAGGCTCTTCCTTTCAGCCTTTCGTTTGTAGTCTGGTTGGAGCGACGCGTTATGCACCCGGACACTTCCTGCACGGACATTCTCCTTATCGGCTCCTTGCTCTGTGCTGTGTGGGGATCACTCCGGTGGAGCGATCTACTTTGGTGCCCCCCGGACCGTATTCACCTGCACTCCGATGGGTCCGTTATCTCCGGCATTGCTATGCGAACCAAAGTCACCCGTTCCGGGATGCCCTGGGGCATTCTCCCTTCCGGTCTTACCGGCACTCCATCCGGCTCCTGGTCCTTCCGGTGGCTCACGGTTCTGAAGCAATCGCTCCAGCGCTCCCGTGCTGCCTTTCCCAATAGAGTCATCGACTTCCTTCCGGCCCTTCTTTCGGGTCCCTCACACTCACCGGTCCTGTTCAGTCCTCTGCAGCGGGATCGCGGCGTTACATGGATCCGTTCTCTGCTCATGGAGCATTGGCGCGAATCTTCTTCTGGCTCGCCTCCCGAAGCCTTCCGCTTCATTGGTGCTCATAGTGCCAAGGTGACCTTGCTTAGTTGGGCCCGGCAACTGAACTTCCCATCTGATCTCCGTCGTATTCAAGGACATCATCGGCTGTCCGGTGCGGACGCCTCTGTCGCTCTCTATAGCCGAGACGACATTGGCCCTATGGTCCATCTCCAGCGGGCCCTGGTCTTCCACATTCGTTCTGGCTTTCGTCCGATGCAGCCCTTGGCACGCGGCCTGGCTGAACCTCTCCCGCCCGGACTTCCCCGTGCAACTCCCGGCGGCGGTCCCTCTAGGTACAGAACCGACATTTTCGGCCTTTCCCGGTTTGAATCTCTCTCTTCAAACCCCAGCCTCCGCTGACCCGGCTCCTCAGCCGGCCTCTCCGGTAGTTTCGGGCCACTCTCCCCTTTCTTCCGCTCGAAGTCCCCTGCGCCGGACCCCGAAGCTCAGATGGTTGCAGAGGCAGCGGCGTTGCTTCCTCCGTCTTCCTCGGATGAAGAGCCAGCGGAGCCCGCCGCTCCGTCATCTGACCCGGTCTCTTCTCTATTTTTACATAACTATCGCAGCAACGTAGTTCACGCAGCCGTGCGGGTTGAGGCCCACGCCGCCCGTCGCCTGGAGGTCTCTGATCCATTCGGGTCCGGCACCCTGTGGGTTCGCCCCGCTTGCGGCTCTCAAACCTACCAGTTGTTCGGACTCTCTGTGCAACTCGGTTCCATCGGGCACCACGCTGTGCCTTCGAACCGCATGTCTCACCCGCTTTTCTGCGGTACCCTAGTTTTGGCAACAGCGCTCTGCGGCTAAAAGTAGCCCAGTCGTCTCTTCTACCCTATGCTTGTGCCGTGCTTGCTCTTAGCCCTGCTTGCTTTCCGCAGCCGTTTCGGTTCCCTTGGCCCCCTGCTGTCGGTGTCTCTCCCCCGTCTTCCTGTCGTCATGGCTGACCCTATCGAAGACTTCTCTCCCGCCTCCGTTCCGCCCGAGCCGGCAGGCCGTCTGGACCTGGACTTGCTTCGACGCCTGGCCACTCTGGAACAACGAGTCAGGGACGTGGAGTCTGGTCTGGCCGCCACTCGGACAGAGATCACGGAGGACCAGAACGTCACTCGCCACTTCCGGGCTTCCGTTCGGAACCTCATTGAGCGCTCCAATGCGCTCATGAATGAATACACCTTCATGCAGCGCTCCCGGTCGGCCTTCTTGCTGGCCTTCCGCTCGGCTCTCACAACTGTCATAGATGTGCTGCGCACATTTCGTGACACCGCGGTCTGACCTTCGCCGGCCTCGAGTGAAACAGCGTTTTGCTCGTCTGCCTGCTCGGTCTGTCTCGCGTGACTTTTTTCCGCAGCTGTTTTTTGGCTCTCTCCCTCCCCTGCCCTTTGTCCCGCGGGTCCCGGCCTCTCATGGCTGCCGCTCGCCTGGATGATGCTTCGGAGGTCCCTCGGCTTCTTGCGGACTGGAGCGCCCCAGGGGGTATGTCGCCCTGGAAACACCCCACCTTCGGTAGCTGCGCGCCTCAAGGCCGCCAACTTTCCAACTTTCTCACGCTCGGGCAGATCGCTTTCGCAATCCCCCCGGACGCGTCCATCGACCCATTCGTGGTGTCCGTCCTCGGCGTGGCTGAGGACCACTCCTTGATGACTAGCCCGGAGGCCGCCGTCCTCCTTGGCCCAGGACTCTATTCCGGGACCTCCGGCCCCTCCCTCCGGCCTCTCATCCGGTCCGGTTTCGTCGAAACTGTCGCCGGATGCAGTTCTTAAGCTCCGGTCTCAGTTCCAGAAATCATACACCGGGGAACTCCTTAACAGAGATACCACGCCCTCAGTGGAGTTCCTCTCTGCCCTTAAGCAGCAGATCGACTCCAAGGCCTCCCCGTGGATTGCTTGGCGTTTCCGGACATCCGGATGCGGCGGTATGGCAGGAATCCCGCCGCCCCCGGTCGGATCGTCAGCTCCTCCGGACTCTGTTGGAAGTGGACGAGGAGCCTTCTGGTCCGTCGATCCCCATTCATAATTCGCATCCGGTGGAGTCCACGGTCCGCCGCGCCTGTGCCATGCTTGCGACCGCGCTAGCCATGCTGGAGGTCGTCCACCTGTTGGTCATTAAGCGGTTCAACGACCGTTTTCTGTCTTTTGCCTTGGCTCAGCCTCTTGACTCCACGCTTCGGGCACGGGCACCGTCCTTGGCTGAGATTCTTGCCGCCGATCGGTCCGTCTGGGAGTCTGTTTGGGCCCTCATGCGAGACCATGGTTGGTTTCTGTCCGACGCTCTTAACGAAATCGCCTTCTGCCGGCAAGACATCTCGTCCGCCCTGCAGCCTCGGCCTCGTCCTCCGGCTCCGGTCCGTCCTCCGCCTACGCTGCAGCCTCGCCTGCCTAACGCCCCGCACGCCGGCAGGAAACGCAAACCGACGGCCGACTCTCCTTCTCCTGCCGTTGCCAAGGGGGCTCCCAAGGCCAAGGCCAAGGCCGACCCCAAAAGGTCGCCCCAGTCCCAAGAAAAAGACGATCGCGGATAAATGGGATCCGGCCTGGGCCACGCACATCGACGCCCATGAGCTTTGCAAAAAGTTTGGGCTCGGCAAGTGTAAAAACAAGAACTGTCGCTTTGCTCTCTCCGGCCACCGTTGCCCGGTTCCGGACGCTGCCGGCAACCCCTGTGGCCAGGAGCACAGCGCGGTCGACCACCTAGCGGCTGGTCATTGACTAGACCGCCCGTCTTCCGTTGCTGCGGCTCCCTTACCGGATCCGCCCGCTACACCAGTACAGGCACAGTCTGTTCCTTCTCTGCTTCCGGTCCCCTCGGCTAAGGCCCGCCCTGCTGGCTCCACGGGCTCCTTCGGGGCCCGCTGCGGCCCCGGTCTCCAAACCCTGCTCTCAGCTCCCTTCCGGGCCTGAATCTCAACGGCCCTCGACGTCGGCCCCTCCTGTAGCGGACCGGCCCTCTGGCGCCCTGCCTCCTCCCCGGTTCTTTTTGGACCTGTTGTCTGGACACGCAGCTCCTTTGTCCAAAGCCATGTCTCGGTTAAAGGCGAACAGATTCTCCCCGGTCGACATACTAGCCACCCCGGCCTCAGATATTGCCAGCGATGAGGTCTTCAACGACCTTAAGGAGTTGTGCGCTTCCGGGCTGGTCGGTGTTGCTTGCGCAGCTCCACCCTGTGCCTCCTTTTCGCGCGCCAGACTTCGGCCTGGCGGGCCCTCCCCGGTCCGCACTCCTGCCTTCCCTACCGGTGTCCCCGATCCGTCCACGGCAGGTGCCAGAGAATTAGAGGTCTCTTCACTACTCCACCGGCGTACTCGGGAGCTCCTGGCCTTGGTTTCGGCCGCTGGGGGGATAGTAGTTCTGGAGAACCCGGTCTCAAGCCTGCTGTGGCTTGATCCCGAGGTTGTGTCCTGGCAGAAATCAGTGGCTCCCTTCGCTGCGTCTGTTGCCGCCTGCGCCCATGGTGTCAACGTCTCCAAGCGCTGGCTGTTCTGCTCCAACTCGGACGACATCTGTTTGCTAGCGTCAACCTGTTCTCATGCGCCTGGCTCCCATCCGGTCCTCGTGGGTAAACGCCTGTCCGACGGCTCTTTCGCTACCTGGCTCACCGCTCAATATCCGGACTCCCTGTCTGGTTCTCTGTCGGCCTTGCTGGCCCCTGCACTCGGCTCCAGCGACACTCTATTGCCTTGGCGACAGTGGCGCTCCCTTCTGCCCTCTAAGCTCTTCTGGGATCCCCCGAAGAGAAGGGTGGAAGACGGTGCGGGCACGTCCAGCTCTGCCTTCTGGCATCGTCCCTCCGGTCCGGACACCTTTAAAAGTCTCCGGTCCCGGTGGTCTAGCCGATTGCTTCTCCCCGGGGTTCTGATGTCGCTTATAACTCGTCTGAACTCCGATTCCAAAGATCCTCCTCTTTCTGACGAGGACTTGTCCCCCTATCTTTCCGACCTCCGTCTGTTTCTTAACATTACGGATGATGCCGTGTGGGATGCCTTGCTAGCTGTGGATGAAGGACAGCCCTTTCGCTTACGCCTGCTCCACTGTCTGGCCCTTATCCTTGGCGACGCGGATTCGGACTACGCCCGTCTCCTCCAGTCCGGGGTTCCGTTGGGAGTCGACTTTCCCATGCCTTTCCTCCCCCGGAATCTCACCAGGATGCGCCGGTTGACCTGCAACACTGCGAATCTTCGTGGCAATCAGCTCATTCGCATCCGGACATCGTTGATGACCTTTTAGCCATTGAGATTGCCTCCGGCTGGATAGAGGTTGTTCCGGGCGGTGACGAGGAACTCCGGTCCCGGTTTGTTAAAACTGCGGTTGGTAAGCTGGGGGTCGTGATCTCAGACCATCGACCCCCTCGCTTAGTGGTAGACAGCTCTGTGTCCGGGGTGACTTCGCGCACTCAGCTCCCCAACAGGTGTCCCAACCCTACCCTAATGGATGTTCGCCGGTGCTCTCCGGTCTTCTCAGCCAGGGAGCGCTTATGTGCTCTGGTTCTGGACGTTGCCAAAGCACATCGCCGGATCCGCATTGCATTCGCAAATGCGATTGGGGCCTCCTGTGTTTCCGGCACCGGGGTACACTGTACCTTTCCAAATGCCTCAACTTCGGTGCTCGTGCCAGCAGTTNNNTGGCCGGCCTTCTGGTCCGGTTATCCCATCGACTCTGGTACGTGTCGCATTCCGGCTTCATCTACGTAGATGATTTCCTCGCCGTGCTTGAAGAAGTCAGTGCGCCACTCTGGTCCGGCCTACTAGTGGTCTTTCTTTTGATCCTCCGGGTTCCGTTAAGTTGGCACAAGGCCAACCTCTCCCCCCGTGTGATCTGGATCGGGTGGGAGTTCGACTTCTCCCTCCTTCTCGTCCGCCTGGATTCTTCTAAGGCCGTCCGGATTCTGGCCCTCATTGACTTCCTCTTGCACTGTCGGTCCTGTTCTCTCACGGACCTCGAGCGCATCACCGGTCAGCTTTTATGGGTTTCTGGTCTTTTTCGTTGCCTTCGGCCCACTCTTACCCCGCTCTACCGGGATCAACACAGACTCCCGCCGGTTATGTGCGCTCTCTCACCGGATCAGTGGACGTCTCTGAGGCCTTTTATTACCCCCGATTTGCGGATCACTCGTAATTTGGGTATCCCGTCTATTCAAGTGGGTGCTTCCCTTCTCCGGGTGGGCCAGGCGGCCATTTCCTCTTTATCGGACCTACCCGCTAACCCGGTGGAATCACGTCGTGTCTGGATTCAGATCACTGCCGCTCGCAGTCCCACGCGTACAGTCTTTGAAGAGTCCAAGGTCGCTCTCCG